GGGTTTCCGTTTGGGCACCGCCGCAGAGTAAAAACGAGTTTTAGAAATATCTAAAATTAATTTGCGCGTTCCGTGGCTATTTAGTTTCAACATTTTAGCAARACTCGACTGAACTTTGTACCTAAACGTAAACAATGAATGGGGGGTGACCTGTTACATTCAACAGGTATTTTAAAGTACTGTTAAGTATTTGTTGGTCACTGTTACCCTTAACAGTGAGTTATCGATAGTCGGCACTCGATAGTTGTTGACCAGCGCGTTACCAAACATACTGTAAAGTTTAGAGTGTAAACACACAAAGCAAACAAACAAACGAAGTTTAGCTATTTATTTAAATGTAATCAATTAATCAACATCAACTCGATGACTTCTTCCATCAAATGCCGTATCTGTATTTGCGCCATTGATGCAACTGTTGGCAGCTACGATATGCAGAAACTGCCTCTCGTGGCGCACAAGTTTGTTACCTGCACCGATCTCGCTGTGGAGGTGCATGAGCGAGTGCCCAGCGTGCTGTGCCAGGCGTGCTTCCACCAGCTGGACCAGCTCTATGCATTCCGTGCCAAGTGCATAGCAGCTGACACGAAATGGCGAATGCAAATACTGGCATTCTGTGACGATGAGGAGCCCACATACGACTTGGAGGCGACGCCCACAACAGTGGAAATTGTGGAACTGAAGCTGAAGCAGAGAAACGAAAAGAAGGTTGAAAAACAGGTGGAAAGTAGATGTGAAACGACTGCAACAGATAYCGATTCGGATCATTGCCATACATATGAACAGCTTGAGCAGCTCGACGAGGATGTGGACGATGTTACAGTGAGAAATCAAGAAATTTTCCAGTAATATTAGATTGATCTATCAGAGGCATTGCACTTTTTTAGAGTAACTCACCGCAGCCACCCAAAGAGGTCTTCAAATGCAACATCTGCGCAGCACAATTCCTAAATGAGAAGCGCCTGCAATCGCACAGCCGGCGACATGGACAGATGCCCTATCCCTGCACCGAACCAGGCTGTGGCCATGGCTATAGCCACAAGCATACGCTCTCTCTGCACATGCGCAAGTGCCACAAGCTGGGGAAGGAGCACAAGTCACATGTGTGCGAGTTCTGTGGCAAAGTCTTTGGCACCATGGCGCTGCTCAAGAACCATCGCTTCACCCACAAGGACAAGCTGCAGCAGCCTTTCGCCTGCGAAGAGCCCAGCTGTGAGCGACGTTTCGCCACCAAGCAGCTGCTCAAGATACACATGATGCGCCATGCGGGCATCAAGAACTACACTTGTTCATATTGTGGCGTGCAGAAGACGACGCGCACCGAGCTCAAGATCCACCTGAACTATCACACGCTGGAGCGCACCTATTGCTGTCGACTCTGCTCCAAAGTATGCTACAGCTCCAGCAATCTGAACAAGCATATGCGTACGGTACACGAGCGAGCGCGGAACTATACCTGCCGCTACTGTGAGCACGCATTCGCTCAGCCGGAGACGCGCAATCAGCACGAGCTTATCCACACGGGCGAGAAGCCACACGGATGTCCAGAATGTGGCAGACACTTTAGACAAAAGGCAGCACTGCGTGCTCATCTCAAAATACACACGCGACAGCCTAAGCAGACAGATTCGACAATTGAAATCGAAACGCTCGTGGAGATTGAAGATGCTAGCGGTGTGCTGCAAGGCGAAGATCTAGAGTATGGTTGAGGGAGGGTAAATGAAACAATTTAGGGGTATTCGAAAGCAGATCACATAGAGAGTGATGTAAAAAGAACAAAAGAAGGCATCTAATAAGAGAAGCTAGACATCTCGCAGAGCCAGAGAGAGAGTTTATCAAAGACTTGTGAAGTAAAACACAGTTGTGTATTTTGGGATTCAGAATGTAAATAGCAATAGTTTTTTATTATATATATGTTTTTTTTTTTTTTTTTTTTTTTTTTTTTTCAACTAAAACAAAAATGTACAAAAATTAAATTACTACTAAAATCTAAAATACATACTCGTATGTCTACTAATTTTTATATGCTTGGAAAATCGCCTGTGTATACATGTATGCAAAATTCAGTTATTTATATTGAGTTAATGCTGTAGTATGTAAATGATATGATGTGCTACGTGGAGTTGTTAGAGATAGCTGAGAGCCCAGTTAAACGGATATATATATTAAATATATGTGTGTGTATGTTTCATGCAGTATAAATAATTCTTGTGTGTGTTTCGTAAATAGTCGTAAATACTTTTATTTTCTTATTTTTCTTGCATTAAAATCGTTGTAAATATGTTTTTCCCTTTGCTTCGTTTATAGATATTGTATATATAGTATATTTCCTGTAAGCATAAATTCATTTCGCTGTAAATATGTGTGTGTGTGTGTGAGCGTGTATATATGATAATATGATTTTGGGTACATTGTTGGGTTGTTTTCGCTTAGACTTAGACTGAAATGCATTTCTCTCGCCTATTCGAAAAAAATGCTCATTGTTCGCTTTCCGGTTTTCCTGTTCTCCGTTTCTCTTTTCTCTTGCCATTTCTGTTTTACATTTTTAGAAAATGCTAAAGTACATAGAACATAAGAATATAGCATATTTAGGCTAAATATCACCCACGATTTAATCGCTGTTTAACACTATATATATATAGATATATATATGTGTGTATATATATATAGATATATTAAAACTAGATTTATAATACATGCTTGTATGTAAATCTGTCGTCCTATATTACAATTCAGACATAAACAAAAGACACAAATCGAGACTACGCTAACTCTAAGCTAGCATATGCTATAAATATAAATATTTATATATCCATACAGCTATTTGTATACTATTTATGTATATATATATATGTATATATAGATTGTGTTTAACGTAATTCATTAACATGTTAAGCTCGCATTTCTTAATCTCTCTCTACTTTTTTAAAGTCACATATCTCGTATATAAATTACAAATTAATTGCTCCTCCTCCTGCAGCTCCTGCTTCAGCTGCTCAGACATAGTCCGAGGGCACGGTGCTGGTGCTCGTCTCATTGATGGCTGCCAGACGTGGCATGCGTCGTTGCGTCATGGCAGCATCGTTCGGCGCCAGCCCAGTGGTGGTGGCCACGCCTCCAACGCCGTTGCCACCGCCAGCGCCGCCGCCGCCGCCGTGGTGCTCCCAATTGGGCAACGGCTGCGACATGACATTCAGACCAACAATCTCATAGGCGCCCTGATTGCTGCCACTGGCGCCGCCCGGCATGGCGGTGACGGACAGATCCGAGTAGTAGGCGCTGCTCGGCGCTGACGAGACGACCATGGGAATGTCTTGCTCGTGTGCCTGGAAATTGTATTTCTGTGGACGAGAGGGCAATCAAAGCAGTTAGCTGGAGCTGAGGCTGATATTCTTAGGCTAGTTGAACTTACCTCGCCACACTGACTGTACGCCGTATTCTGATACGACGGGTTTGCCGAACGCACCGATTCGCGATCGAGTTCCGCATAGAGTGCTTCGCTGACGCCCACCGGACTATATGCATCGTCCATGTGGGTATAATGATTCTCGGCCGGAGATGTCGATGGCGGCCCAATCTGATCCGGGCCCGCCGACGAGCGTCGACTGCCGCCCAGCCAGGTCCAGACGCCCGAGTTGCTTGTGGGCCGGCGTATGCTGTCCGCCGAATGCTTTATGGAGATCGGCGAACGATTCTGGCCGCCACCGTTGCGATTGTTACGACACCACCACGGCTGTGGTCGACCACCTGTAAGAGTAGCACAAGCATATGTGGTGTGAGTAAGTTGCTTTGGTATTTTGAACATTTGGTGTTGGCTTAAAGCTAAATTGGAATTGGAATCGGATTGGGACTCGAATTCGAATTCGGATTCGCGGCAGCAATCTATGACATTTGGTTCTATAATCGGGAGATAAATCAAACATTCACCTCACATCGAACGCGACAGAGCAGCAAGCAGCAAACGGTAAACATTTAACAGCGAACAACAAAACAGAGAAACAAACAGCAAAACAAACAAAGCGTAAATTAAACGGCTGTCAACCGGCAGCGAGGTGGCACAGTTGCAGGCGAGTGTGTGGCAATGAGTAACGGGCGACTTGGCCAAAATGCCAAACATGTAAAGAAAGAAAGAGACAGAGAAACAAACAGAGTTTGGCGCAGACTGTGAGATCCTTTTGTAATCAGCTAGTGGGATCACAGTCCTTGGCATATATCATAAGTATAGAGAGACAGAGTTCAATGACCCCACATCCCACATACACATCCACATCCACACACACACATATAGGAAGTCTATAAAATGGGTATTCATTAGAGTTGTTTTTCATTTATGGTGTGCTTATCCGCTAACAGCATCTTTATAGACTCCTTTAGCCTTGTTATAGTAATTTCATTTCATTTCATAACCACAGCAAGACCAGTTCCCAGCATCCGCTGTGCCCACTGACCACAGCTCATCCAGCTCATCCACTTTGCCTAGCTGTTAATGAGTGCGGGCCTCGGGCTTCGGGCCTCGGGCCTCGGGCCTTACCTTTCACTCTCATTGCGCTCAAGCTTGGGTGATTGGGTGCTTAGGTGGTGCTTGGCTGCTTGAAGCGATCCAACTAATTAGCGGAATGCATACGCAACCACTTGCCACAGCCGATGGCAATTTTCCAAGCTATGCACATGCATAATGCAGCCATTTCGGTTGCTGTTTTAATGCTTATGATTTACGTACTGAAAGACTGCGTTTGTCCAGCTCTAGCTAGATATATTTACTTTTTATATACTATACTATGCTTATATGCATATATATGTCCACTCTGTGTCTCTGTTTGCTCTGGCGATTATTAACCCAAGCTTATCGTTAGTAGGTGCTCATATACATGCATTTTGTGCATGTCACAAACGCCAAAGACTTTGCAACTCGACTCCCAGCTGCTGCAACTGCGACTGCAGCTCGGACTTGCACTTCGATTCGGATGCGGACTTGGCGGCTAGTTGGCTTTAATAGCTGTTTCTTATGTTTTTTTTTTTTTTTTTGTTTCCTTCTATTTCTACTGTGTTAACGATGTTGCCTGTTTGCTACTGCAGCAATTGCATTGAACTTACGCTTATTGCTGACACAGTGCACAGCTGCACAGTGGTGCCAAAGCGAATGGCGTTCATTGCTTTATATTGTAATTAAAACGAAAATATAACATAAATAATAAATT